TCAAAGGACAACAAAGGTTTCTTGAGCTTCCATTGAGATTGGTTGTTAATATTTATGTCACGTTTTAAAGACACATCATTAGAAGCCCAAAGCTTTAAATGATATTATTTCGGGCCTTGACACAGACTAGCAGGTCACTTCGTTAACTTGTAGATCTATTATCGAGTAAGTCTTGTTTTCAATTGCAGTATACCCACTTCTAATTTATTTGACTCCAAAAATTAATTGGACAATACAGTGTATTGGGTATAATCCAATCCAATTTCCTCAACACCATTACGTATTTCAAAAATCAAGTATATTAAGTATAATCCAATCCAATTTCCTCAACACCATTACGTATTTCAAAAATCAAGTATATTAAGTATAATCCAATCCAATTTCCTCAACATCATTACGTATTTCAAAAATCAAGTATATTAAGTATAATCCAATCCAGTTTCCTCAACATCATTACGTAGTTCAGCAATACAATGTATTACTAACTATCATTCAATTGCATTCTTAGTTTAGCCTTGCAGTTTCGCCACATTGTTCGTTTCATCTTGACTTTGCTTAGTTATTTTTATGCCAGAGAAATGTTTTATTCTTGAAATGTCTCCAGAAGATTGATGGAAATAGGAACTCAGGACGTTGTTGAGCATGCCTTAGGAATCGTTAAAAGAATAGTCAAGAGAGTTTATAATGATTAATATATAAATACTGTCCATAACAACAGGAACGTGATGGAGCTTTAAACATATAATACTGAGTACAATCTTTAAAGTTGAATTTCACAAAGTACTCAAATTGATATTTTACAGATAGCTTTCCAATAACTTCTGAAAAGACCGTTGGACTTACGTACTGTAGCCAGTTGCCAAACCATCTTCCAAATTAACAGTGGACACGAACGAGTTTCGAAGATATGTTCTCAAGAATTCATAAATCCGATGCTGGGCACATTGACATTGGCAGGAAGATTTCTAAAGTTAACACTTGTCACAAATAGTTAATGAACGTGGAACATCAATCATCTGTTAAGGCACCAGATGAATATTAAGTATAGGTCTAGAAATCTTCTCTTAAGTTATTGTTGGACAAAAATACCGAGTATCCACTTCGCTAGTATTTGCTTAATGAGGGTGGGTTTCCGTTTCTATTTATAAAAGGGTGAGAAAGAAGCACAGAAGATGAACTTCCAACCATATCTATGAAACCAATTTTAGATATAATTAAACTGAATGTAGTTCTTTAAGCCAAAAGTAGAATAACCATTTCACAAACTAAAAGAGGTGGGGTTTTCTATTCATTGCTTGAGCTGGGCACAAACTTCTTTAATTCGTTTTTCGAGATTGAATGCTTTTCTTGCTTATTAGCTACCTAACTATCTGATTTATTGTCACTTGGATAGATTCACGCCCTTTTCTTCAGGGTACGAGAAAATGTTTCTGTATATAATTTCTTGATACCCCCACCCAGTGCCGGCTACGTGTAGTTTACAGATCTCACTACTTCGTCTTCAGTAGGTCTGTTTTGGAAGGAGCGGAACTTATTTGATTGTGTTCTTGGCCACTAGAGGTCATCGCGACTCTTGCTGAGCTCTGGGTGATGCGGGCATCTGCTAAGCAAAAAGCTTGGCTGGCTCTTTCCCTTAGTTCTTGATCACTGTAGTCATCACTCATTAAGTTTGGACAAGGACAAAATGGCAAGCTGTTCTTGCTGCCTTTCCAACCCATTAACCATATCCTCTATGCTCTGTAACGTGCTAGAAGCAGAAGGAGAGACAGTTGGACTTATCGAGCTTGAAGAACTCGCAACTTCAGAAGCTGGGGATAAAGACATGCCCTTGAGTAGTGGGAGTGGGACAGGGCAGTGGAGAGTAGAAGCAGGAAGTTGTGTCGAGCTGGTGGTCACTGGTAACGGATATGGAAAGAATCGATGATGTCCATGTCTGCATCCAGGGTCCAAAAATCTTGGGTTGCTACGAGTCATCAAAGAATAAAGATGAGATGATACGTTTGCAGACATTGTAGATGTTGTAGGAATGGCGTGAGGAAAGTAGAATTGGGGGTACAAAGCTGGTGGGTAGAGATAAGGAAATATGTGAGGGTGGGGTAAACCACCTCCTAAAGTATTATGAATTCCAAGCTGATGTAAACTGTGCGCATGGTTCTCTGGGGGGTCAACATTCTGAAAACTCTGTGCTCCAGCATTTGAAGATTCTGGAGTAAATGATCCTGGGATGGCCAAAGAAGCTGCTTCCTTTTTCTTAGATGAGGTCTCCTGGTTCCTGTCTTCTGTGGTCTTTTTATTAACAACATCAGTGTTTTCCATTTTTTCTAGGTCCATCTTGTTATCTTCTGGAACTATCGAAAAGGCGTCAATCAATAGAAGTATTATGTTTTACCTTAACTAGATTTTCTAATATAACAATAAAAGACGTACGTAGCTTACGATGTGAAAATAATTTAAACAATTCTTAATAACAAAAGGACGTACGTATCTTACGATGTAAAAATAATTTAAACAATTCTTAATAACAAAAGGACGTACGTAGCTTACGATGTAAAAGAAATTCAAACAATTCCTAATAAAAGACATACGTAGCTTACGATGTAAAAATAGTTTAAACAATTCTTAATAACAAAAGGACGTACGTAGCTTACGATGTAAAAATAATTTAAACAATTCTTAATAACAAAAGGACGTACGTAGCTTACGATGTAAAAATAATTTAAACAATTCTTAATAACAAAAGGACGTACGTATCTTACGATGTAAAAATAATTTAAACAATTCTTAATAACAAAAGACGTACGTATCTTACGATATAAAAATAATTTAAACAATTCTTAATAACAAAAGACGTACGTATCTTACGATGTAAAAATAATTTAAACAATTCTTAATAACAAAAGGACGTACGCAGCTTACGATGTAAAAATAATTTAAACAATTCTTAATAACAAAAGAACGTACGTAGCTTACGATGTAAAAATAATTTAAACAATTCTTAATAACAAAAGGACGTACGTATCTTACGATGTAAAAATAATTTAAACAATTTTTAATAACAAAAGACGTACGTATTTTACGATGTAAAAATAATCCAAATACTTTCATCTATGCTTTTAGAATTGTAATCATCTCAATGAAAGTAAGTAATCAAAATGTAAAAATGTAAAACTAGAAGTAAAACAAACCTTCTGCTAAGAAGCTACAAAAAATACTACTAACTCTAGTGATTTTGATAATACTGACACAAGAAATTTCTTTTATCATTTTGATGTATCTCTAGAATATATTAATAAATAAGGTAACTTATCTTTCATAAATTAGTTAACATTCCATTTTTTATGTAGATAATCAAATATTTATGTATCGACACTTTTAGCACTATTCGCAAAATATTACGAAACTTTCGAATGGTTTTTCCAAGTATCTAATTAATTCATTCATAACTGATCAACATTTCACGAAAATCATATCAATCTCACCAAATGCCAAGGATGAAGATTAGTTAGGCCTACAAAGAGTACGTTCATAAAAGTAAAAAAAAAGAGAGAGAGAGAGAGAAACAAAAGGATGAAGATTAGTTAGGCCTACAAAGAGTACTTCATAAAAGTAAAAAAAAAGAAGAGAGAGAGAGAGAAAGAAAAAGGTGCAATGATGCAAAGCAACTTTTACATCGTAAAACTCTTCGAGACTTTTAATTCGTTTAACCAATCAGAGACGTGGTTACATCGGGCATGCAGGTTGTATTTAACGAAGCGAACTACAACAGGAACCAGCATGTTCTAGCTTTAGTTTACTCGCTCTCGCTACTTGTCAATATCAAACAATTGTCTTACTGTTATTATCTTACACATACAATAATAACTCAACTAGTGACGTATTTCTTAGAGGATATTCTATCCTTTATTCTGTCGTTCTTCTTCCGGAAATAAAACCATGAAAAGCTGATGAGTAATATATACGTTGAATTTGAACAGACTAGCGCCACATGTGAGGCAGTGTTATACTCGTAATAAATAACGCTTGAGGCACTGACAGGTTCGAGGTTTGGGGCAGATGTGTTATATAACACGCGAACCAAATATGAACATTCGCTGGCTTTCGTGTAGCATGTGCTTAGCAGTAATTTACCAAATATGTAACATGAAAACGATGATTTAATAGGATGTTTTCTCCGTATCACACAGAATATGAAACGGAGATCAGACAATTATTCGTGTTTATTCAGGGAAACAGTTGTTGAACATAACCTAGATAAAACAAAGCAACTAAAAGCACATATTCATAACTAACTTTCATCGGTAAGCTACATTGGTACACACGTTTATATATTATAAGTTGACTAACTAAAACTGTAGAGACTACATTAGTATACACGTTTATATATTATAAGTTGACGAACTAAAACTGTAGAGACTACATTAGTATACACGTTTATATCTTGTAAGTTGACGAACTAAAACTGTAGAGACTACATTAGTATACACGTTTATATCTTGTAAGTTGACTAACTAAAACTGTAGAGACTACATTAGTATACACGTTATATCTTG